TATATATATATGTTTTTGAAGTTATAAGAGGTGTAAGCTTCAACCTCTAGAACAGTTCAGAACATCCAAGAGAACATTCAACATTCGAGAACATTCAACAACGTTCTAGGACATACTGGAACATTCCGAAATTTTGAGGAATAGTCTCCCTGGGCACAGCCAGTATACACCAGCTATTTATCTATATAAACAGTACTGCATCTACAATTCTGGGCTCTGGAGAGCTATGCCTGTTCTGGTGAATGTCTTTAGAGCCAGATTCTTATGAGCAAATATGATGAAAGGAGAATTCTCTAGACTACTTATTTCTTTATAACCTGAATTCAGATACTCTTAAAAAGACTACTTATTTCTTTATAATCTGAATTCACGTACTCTTAAAAAAAATCAATTGAAAAAGTTTATTATAAGTAGGAAATTGAAAAAGAGAAGAAAAAAATTCGAACCAATTTTTCCCAAGATGTAATACTCCCAAAACAAAAAATATTCATATACTGTATTTATTTTTGAAATCCCTACCCTTATTTTATTACCTGGATTCTGTAGATTCTTCGGCAGGCCTTTTACTTCCTGCCACATTTGGATTGGTACCAAAAATGAAAATCTTCAGATATCCAAAAATATTCCAAATTGGAGCAAGAAAAGACCAGATCATAGATGAGAACGTTCCTCCGGGATGAGTTGACACCATTCCCTGATTTGCTGGTAAAACCAAAATAACAGCATTAGGAACTAACTGCAGATCCACCAATGTTTGAGAATAATCATTATTGGTGAATTCCCTTCTAGGAAATGTAGTGGACAGAGTAAAATCATTAAATGGTAATTTCAAATTGGCTTTGATGTAGGAAACGACTGCCTGCATTGGGTCAGAACTAGCAAATTCTTGTGTGTTAGATGAGCCATCTGGTAGTCGGAACTGAAGACGAGTTGTATTCGACTTGACTGAGGGAACAGTAGGCTGAGTTGGTTTGGGTGTTTCGCTCACGGACTGCGTTTGGGGTTGCGATTTGGATAATCGTTCCACTCTATCTTGAGCAATTTGTGCCAATACTCGTTCTCTAGCCTGTTGATTCTCACGTTTCTCTCTGTCGCGTTCTTCTTTGAGCTGTTTCAGTTCTTGATCTTCCTGCCATTTCTTCATCTGTTGAACATTCTGACCCATCTTGCGTCTTTCTAACTCTCTGAGACGTTCATTCTGAGTCATGAAAAGATGATTGAGTTTATATATTGGGATGAAACTGACTATACAATTTTGTTACATTTTGATAGAGAAATGATATGGTGACAGATACTTGTCAATTGAAAAGAAACATACAGGGAGATTCAAATTCAAGAAAATAACTTAAAAAGAAATTGCCCGACAGCACAAGATAAGAATCCTAGTCCTGAAGGCAAAAAAAGCGATAACAATTCTGCTGAACTTTTTCTCAAATTCTGAGAGTTGGTGTTTGAATTATCAGATCAAGCCAACTTTTTGTTAGGTAACTTAATATAATTCGTATAATATAGATATTATCGGCTTGAAACGGATGTAAGTGTAGCCTCATTCTACCTTGCTTTTCAGGGTAGCCTCAACAAAGAAACTATTCTGGTGTCAATGTTTGTTTGTGAGACATCACAAAATCAAAATAATCTATAAATTTGTATCTTTACAAGACCAAATCTTTTCACCTGACCTTTTCACACAAAATCAAGTACGTTACAGATAGTAAATATGTTCAGTTTTTTTCATACATTTTGTCAATATCAGTTTTAATAATTTTTCCTTCAGAATCACGAAATCATACTAGCTTTAATTTTTGAACTCGAGTACTAAACAATACATACTTAATTATTAAAAATTATTGTGCAGCCTTTGGATAATGCTATAATGAAATAAATCCTCAGTTTAAAAATGTACCGATTCAAACAATTTACCAACCGCAGAACATGTAAGAATCAAAGAAAATACTAAAAAATAATAATTTTCAATATAAGTCATGCTACCAAACAAATGTTGTAGGAGCAAATGCTCATTACAACTTATCACTGATGCATACATTTTTTTTTTCTTTATGTTACTATGCTTGTTCTCAGTTGGGTATTTTTTCATTTTCAAATGAAGACACAATTTTGTGTATGACAGTGTACCACTAATATGTTCCATGAAGATAATTCTAGCAATGGTCAGTTTACATAAAATATTTCAGAGGCCTTTCTTTAGCTTTATTATTTCAGTGTAAGTAATCAAGAAACCATATTCCTATTCAGTGCTTCTTTACATTCACCATTTTCTAATAGCTCCTCCTGTTCAGTTGTTCAATTCTCAACTGAAAGAAAAAGTGAGTTGAAAATAGTTTAAATTTATTCCTTGTCATTGCTAGGCCTGTAATTCAGTGTGTTTCCACTTTTTGTATTAATAGGTTAGAAATATTTCCCTCAGGAAATAGTAACGTTCTTTTTAGTTTTGCTATCAAAGGATATTTCTTTCATTTTAGGGTTTCAATATTAACTAGATTCAAGTGACCCTAACATCCATATTATTAAACTTTGTTAGGGATATTGTTATGCAGTTTTGAAAACCTTATTCATATTTCCAAAGAATTTGACTGATACTTGATGAAAATCCATGATTACTTGAACAGTTCATGCCTGAAAAAGCTGTTGCTTAGTGAAACTCGTGTTGCCATTTTGTAAATTGTGTATGAAAAAATTCCATGTAAAGTGGTAGATAGAAACTGAAATTTTATCAGTTCGGACTTCCATTATCTAATATTATATAAAATGATTTGAAATCACTAAAAGAATAAATACAAATTAAAATGAATAGCTAAAAATAACAATTATATTGAGCAGAAAACCCTGAAATGTAATTACAATGAAATAAATTACAAGTAAAAAAATAGAACAATTAAACAAACCTGAAGACGGTGGATACTAACAATCGAAACGTCGTGAAGTAACTTGGCTTGGAATTTCATAATTTTTTGTTGAATTGTTCTATTTTTTACTTATATTTTATTTCACTGTAATTTCATTTCAGGGTTTTTTGCTTAATATAATTGTTATTTTCAGCTATTCTTTTCAATTTGTATTAGTTCTTTTAGGAATTTCAAGTCATTTTATATAATATTAGGCAACGGAAGTCCGAACTAATGAAATTCATCATGAAACACTGTCAATCACCTTCAAACAGAAATTGAAATTATTGCATTTCTGAAATTCATAAAACGGAAAAAGGATTATTTAAGATGTTACCTCCTTCTCTTCTCTTTCTTTTTCTTTTCGTTTAACTTCTAACAACATTTGTGCTCTTTGAATTTTCTCTTCATCGGTTAACTTTACACTTCCTATATTTTCAGAAGAAGCACTGTGGTTCCCAGTGTCAGGAATATTTTCCTCTTTCTGTAGATTAACCTTTTTATCATCCTGAGAAGGCTCATCACTTTTAATTTGGCATACTCCGTTTTTACATTCCATTTGGTCTGATACTTCAGTTCGTTCTGCACTTATCATACTCGCAGAAAGGTTTGCTGCTGAACTACCTGTTGTGTTCGTAGTTATTCCAGCCTTAGATAAAATATTGTCAACTCTTTTTGTAACATCTTCTAGATTATCATTACCAGTTATGATGTCTAGAGGCGTTCCACTTTTTCCAATGAAATAAATCGAAGGAACACTTGGTTCTTTATCTGGATTTCGAGTTAAGGAAACAAGTATTTTGGTTTTAGTTAAAAAAGAGTTTTCAACTATGAAAAAAAATATTAAACAGTATTTCAATTGCAAGTAAAACTATTATTCAAAATGAAGCTTTTTTTCATAGTCAAAATCAACCCAATCAACCCACACACCAGAAATATAAAAAGTAATTCTCAAAGTCAATTTTAAAAGTAACTTCTCCAAAAACAATAATAATTGTACCTGAAACAACCAATTAACAAATTGTTGATATTTTTACATCAACCACTGGTGATACCAAATTAGGTCGCAGATTTCTTCTTCTGCAACTGTGATGAAACAATTTTTGACATGATTCGCCTTCGAAGTTGGCATCTTCAAAATATAATTGTACCTGATGATAGATATCATTCAGTCAGAGACATGTGTGCCAAGAATAGTGCTACATTCTTTCCAAGCCCTTATTTCAACCATCAATAAGGAAGTTAAGAATAAAATATGAAGAAATGCAATTCATAAAAGATGAATTTTACGATAGTGTCTTTGAAACTGAAAAAATGTTAGCTTTAGAAATAAAAACTTTATGGAAAGAGCAAGTTGGTATTTACCTGGTGTATGTTCAGAAAATGAGAATTTTCATTTATATATTCATCTAAATCAGTGTTTCCTAACCTGGGGGTAATTACCCCCGCAGGGGTAAAACGGCAATTCTAGGGGGGTAACAGAGTTGGCACAAAAAAGTATTAAATTAATAAACAAAATAATAGTACGGTAGCACGGCGCTCTCATGCGCGCGGCTGACGGCCACGGCGGGTGAGCGGCGGTGTGGGAGGGGTGAAGCGCGGCTTCGATGTGGCTAGCGGCGGCGGCCGGGCCGGCGCTGTTATTATTATTATTATTGTCACGAGTGATTTGTTTACATTACGTATACATGTATCTGTTGACTTTTGTTTTAGGTACCTACAGGTGTTTTTGACATGGCTTTTACTTCATCTGGTGAAACGCCCACTTATAAAGAAGCATTTCTACAATGGGGTTTCACAAGTATCGTGGACAAAAATATAGAAAAGCCTCAGTGTGTTTTATGTAATAAAGTGCTTAATCCAGAAAGCATGAAACCGAGCAAAATAAAAAAACATTTTGAGAAAGTTCACAAGGAGTTCGCAGATGAAAGTATAGATTTTTTTAAGAAAAAGGAGAAGGTTCTGAAGTCTTCACGATTGGATTCTACAGGTAATATGCAGAAAGCAAATGAATCATGTTTTCAAGTTTCATACAAAATTGCTTACCGCATTCCACTTAATAAAAAACCACACACTATAAGAGAGGACCTCATCAAACCTTGTTTGTGTGATGCAATATCACTTGTTATTGGTGAGCAATATATAGCTGAGATCAAACAAATCTCACTCTCAAATACTACTGTTCAAAGTCGCATTTGTGAAATGAGTGCCGATATTCTAGCAACCGTTACTGCTGAAATAAAGGAAAGTCCTATGTTTGCGCTGCAGTTGAACGAGTCCACAGATGTTGCTTCGTGTTCACAATTATTGGTGTTTATACGATACATTCAAGATGAAGATGTAAAGGAGGAATATTTGTTCTGTAAGTCTTTGCCCACCACTACTCGCAACGAAGACGTATTCAAACGCTAAAAGAGTTTATTGAGGAAAATGGCCTGGACTGGTTGAAGCTGGTTGGTGTTAGTACAGATGGGGCGCCTTCCATGATGGGCATCCGTTCTGAATTTCAAGTACTCGTGAAACAAGTTGCTCCTCAAGTTTTCGACTATCATTGCTTGATACACCGTTACGCTTTGGCAGTGAAGATGCTTCCACCAGATTTGCTACATACGTTAAGTGACATAGTAAAAATTTTTAATCACATTCGAGGCAGCGCTACGAACTCAAGATTATTAAAAAATTTGTGCGATGAAGTTGGTGCTACATTAAATGCTCTTTTGTATCATACAGAGGTACGTTGGTTATTAAGAGGGAAAGTTCTAAGTAGGGTTTACGAACTACGAGAAGAAATTAGATTGTTTTTTGAAAATCAGAGAACACAAAAAGAAAAAAAATATTGTGCAAAAATTAAAGACCAAACATTTTTAGCAAAGATGGCGTACGTTGCTGATTTTTTCAGTAAAATTATTAGTCTGGATATTTCACTGCAAGGAAATAAAACAAACATTTTGACGTTGCACAATAAAATCGCAAGTTTTTTGCGTAAATTGGAACTTTACCAACGTAGATTCCAAGCTGGCAATGTATCAATGTCTACATAACTAAGTGAGCAATTAGTAAATACTAAACAAGACAAAATCACGTTTGAGAATTCCGTGGTTCAACATTCAACTGCTGTGATAGACTCACTGAAGCAATATTTTCTGAACATGGATAGTCGTGAATCCTACTCCTGGATTTTAAGACCATTTTCTACTTGCGTCGATATTTTCAAGGATGGAGATGTATCAGCAAAAGTAGTTTCTTAGACTACGGGCAAGCTGCAGAATATCCTATTATAGCTGACAGAGCTTTAAAAATGTTGATTCCATTTGCTATAACTTACAGATGTGAAACTGGTTTCTCGACTCTTGTTACATTAAAAACAAAAGCTATAAACCGTTTGAATGTGAAGCATGACATGAGATACGCGTTGAGTGAAACCGAACCTAATATTGTTAAACTTGCGAATGCAAAGCAATATCAACCTTCACACTAGTTAAGTCCGAGATATATATATTACTAGTTACCTAAACCTGCAATTTATTACCTAATAAAGATATTTTTGTTCGAATTTGTGTGGTTGAATCATTTTAAATTAGCTAGGGGTAAACTCAATTCCCATAGTTGTTCACAGAGATAGTGGCATTGAAAAGGTTAGGAATCACTGATCTAAATCAATGTTTTCCCACAAACTACATCTAAAAATTTGATCTTCACAGACTTTATTTTCAAAAAATATCACAAGTTTCGTCGCTATCACAGTAGCTTTCTCGTTAATCAAGTTAATCAGTAAATTAATGTTGTTGCCTTCAATATGGCCCCCATGCATTTGTGTCAGCACTTTTTCCAATCCCCGAAACCCTTGTCAAACTTGATATTAAGGATATCCTTTGGCTCTTTCAGCTATGTGTTTTTAAGACCATCTATGCTTGTGACGGCCCTATGTCTGGCAAATATGAAGGATGAGGCATCGCTACAGAATTATGTCATCGGAGATAAACTCAGATGTATAAATCTCCAAGAAGCTAGCTACTCGCGCCAGCAAAACGTCAGAAAAAAATTCCAAAAATTGACAGCCTTCAAACCCAAAAAATAGTGACTCCAGATTTATACCCGAAAAACAGTGTCACTAGATCTTCACTAAATTTTATTAGTTCGGACTTCCATTGTCTAATATGAATCTATGATTCAAAATCTATGAAAGAACAAATAGAATTAAAATGAATAGCTAAAATATCAATTATATTAAACAAGGAAATGTGAAATGAAAATACAATAAAAAGAATTAAATATTCAATATCTACTCTGTGGTCATTTTTATTTTGTATCTTGATTATTTTATTCATTGTATTATATTCATTTCACGTTTTATGTTTTTCTAAATTTCTTTGTTTTTTCATAGATTTCGAACCATAGTTGAATCACATTCGACAGAGGAAGTCCGAACTAGAGTCTGAACTAATAAAATTCACCATGAAACACATTTTTTATCAACATAATGAATATACTTTTCGACAAACCACCCAAAAAGAAGTCAGGTTCGGATGTCAAGCATTGCTCTCCCCATTCCCAGAAGGAGTTTACTAATATCAAAATGTATTTGATTTTTTTTGGCACAAACAGATTATATTATTATAGAATGTTGATGTAACGTGCAGGCAATTGTTTTTAATCTTTTCAACTATCTCTACATCAATCACCAGTTTACTTTCCTGATGGTTAATGAATCCAGTGGACCTGAAGAAAAGGATACATATTTCACTGAACTGTTGATGAGGAACTGAACCAGCCTCTAGTTTTATTGCTACAAAATGTTCCTGTTCTAATTTTTTTCCAAGTGCACCATTTTCGATGAGACTAGATATTTTTTGTGATTGTTCATCAGTACCTATGGAAATATTTTATTTTATGATGGAGAATAATGAAAATCACTTAAAGGAGTTACCTTCAATGTAAACGATGAAAATCGCCCCCTTGGATTTAGAATATCCAATTGCTTCAGCTATTCCTCCAGGGTACCACTTCATATTGTTATTTTTTTCTATCTTAAATTAAAAATATTCAGGAATGAAAAAAAATTGCAAAAATTGCATCAACGAATGACGTTGCATTCATTTTCTGATCATTTTCTTCTTCTCCTTATTTATTGATTAACCTCGGTTTCTGAGACCCAGACCCATCTAAAGAATTACTTTATATTCAAGAGGTCCATTGTAGAAAGGTGGCGGTGTATTAATCCCTAGAAAATAAAGAATTGGAAGCATACGTATGTTTCAGTTTTGAAATATTATTATTCCCAATGAAGTTGTGAAAGGGACTTATTTTTGACCCGTTATAATCCAAAATCGTGTGCGAATGTTATTGAAAACGTGCGGTTGCTATTTTTGACTGCTCAAAGACTCGACTGTGTATCAATTTTTATGCAAGCAAACCGACCCAGTCGCATATGAAAAAAAGTGTGAATCGAAGATTTGCCAAAATTTCTGCAAAACGTTTCAAAATTATTTTGTGATAATTCGTATTCTGTTTTAATTTCTCAAGGGACCGAGATTTAGAGTCTGTCGCGGTAATTAGTTTGGTAATAGTATATGTGGCAGAAAGAAATGTTTTTTCATTTTCGCAGTATCTCCAGATATCTTGAGCAATACGATTTAGTTTTACAATTTTTATACCACCCATTTTGTTGCTATAAGATATTGCTTTTTTATTGTTCAATCCAATAAGAACATTGCAATTATAGATTCGGTTCTCGTGAAACTTTGAATAGAAGAAATCAGCTTGTAGCTTCTAAAATACTGTTTTTCTTCATGACTCCAAAAGCCACGAGATTTTTTGTAATTGCAAAATGCCCCCAACCACATTTTGAGGAAACAGAGAAAATATCAAGTTTCAATTTTATTTCTTTGAAACATTTTCGGCTACTGAGGATAAAATAAATATCCACCATTGTAAGTCATTTCGAAAAGAATCTAAAATTTTCATTATTCTATCGTAGTCGCCAAAATTCTCAAAAATTTTCAAATATTTAGCTTTTTCTTAATTGTTTTATGTTGTCTCAAACATTTAAGGGCAGCGCAGGCTGGTACCAAAATACATATGAATGTGGGCATATCTCTATGATAACGATATCATCTAAGTAGGCTTCACATACAATTTCAAATTGGGGAAGATTGCTTGATAGCGTCTTTAGTATTTAGGTAAAAATGTATGGTACAGTACATAATCCGAAAGGCAATGAATTAAATTGATATAACTTTTCTTTAAATCTGAATTCCAGGAATGTTCTGTGTTTTTCACCAGACTTAAATAATGTGCATCTTTAAGGTCAATCGTGCGAGGACCTTTTTTTTTTGTGTATGAGGTCTTTAACACTTAGATAATCCTCTAATTTGAAATACAAAGGGTTCATAAATTTGTTTAAATTTTTCAGATTTGATATAAATTGAAAAGAACCATTTTGTTTTTTGGAAAGAAAAAAATTCCCAGTTTTCATGTGCTGACAGCGAAACCGCACCTATCGTGCATAGTTCGTGAATAATTTTCTCAACGGCAGCCACATGACATTTGTTCATTTTTTGAATGATTTGGAATGATGATTACATATTTGGATTGAAAACTGTATCGAGAAGAATTACATACATATAAGAGAATAAACCTACACCATAGGTTCTGGAAAATGCCTGCCGGAAAACAAAAACTTCCCTGGCTAATACGACGCTGGATATTGAATTATATCGGATAGACATAAATGAGAAAACATGTATATGTGGGGGTATCTAATTTGAATGAAATGTTCCAGCTAGCTCCTTTTTTAAGGACAAAACACAAGCGATACAGGAAAAATCCTTAAGGAGCTCTGAGAGTGGTACCTGTGCGAAAGTAGCGATTCACGTAGGATTTGAATCGTTGGAGATTAATTTCATTTGGAAAAACGTTCTCAGGAAGTTTATTCCACATAACGCAGTTCTCGAAATGAAAGAGTCCTTGAACAGTAGAGTTCGAGGTATATTGAGTTGAACCTCAAAACGATGAGCAGCCACCGTCTGTCGCGTATTTCTGATATGTACCGCTCTTGGTGGAATCAAATGCGCCAAGTCACTTCACCACTTCCCGTGAAGGTATCTATAAAAGAGAGACAAATCTCCAACCTTTCTTCGATGTTCCAGACTATCAAGATTGCAAGTGATATTTGTGTCTCTAATCAGGGGGATGGCTCTTTTCTGGATGGAATTCAGTAGTCAGGGTATGCTAGGGCGGAGCTCCATTTTAACCCCCAACAAACTTATCGAAGCAGAAAGCGGAATTGTATGCCCTGACATTATTATATCCGGTTCGGTGACATTATAGAACCACTTTTCACAAACAAATAAACGAGGCCGATTACTTTCCTACCGAATACTAGTAATGTGTGTACAAATTTCGTCCTAGTTCTTTCGGACGAGTGTATGAAATAGTCTGCGAAATATAATTATTGATCAGTAAATACATTTGCAGGTCAATATGAGATGGGACAAAAATTGGGTATTATATACGCACACGTTTTTATCCATACGAATAGCTCAAAAACTTCTGAAATTTTCTATAGGTCAACAATAAGTCCCCATAGAATTAAAAATAAAACTTCAATTTCTTTATTATACAAAATTGAAAATGTCAAAATTTTATATCTGCTGAAAACATACCTCTGGGGATGGACAACATTCAAGTGGGCGATGGTTTCATTTATTTTTTATCAAAAGTTGAAAATTTGAAGTCATTTGTCATTAATTTTTGATGTGTTTGGGGAAAGTTATTCGAATTCAAGGTCAAATCGAATTTAAATTGTAAGCAATACCTAGATGTAACAACGAAATTGTGCTGCAATATAATTAGCCCGCTTGAGCATTGATTTAATTAGGACTTTTATGTTATATTTTCCATTTGAATTCAGAATAAAATATTGATATATTTACAACTGAATAACGATATAAACAAAGATGCATATCACAGAACCACAGGAGCTTATTGTTTCGAAGCATATTTTCGAATGTGTCAATCTGAGATCACAGAACACAATGATATACGTTAGCCAGTTGTAGCTGTTTCGTGGTGTGCAATGCAATATAGTTAGCTAAGAGAGAAAATGGCGTTTGTGAGCTTGGTGGTGGTTTTACGTAGAGTGATATAAACATTAAATAAATAGATCGTTTATTTAACAATGTTTCAAAATGAAGTGCTATAATTAAATGGATTAGTTATTGTGTTGTGAAAAATGACGGCAAATATGTACCGTGTCGGAGGTTAGTACCCTTCTTGTTTTTATTTAAACCGGCTTCACACAAGGAAGTTCTGTTCGAGATGATTGCACTGCATGTATTATATGCTTTCTTGACTTAGGGAACTTGATTAATTAATTCAGTTTTCATTTTTTTATATGTTCGAACAATTTTTCAATAACAATTGACAATTGTTGAACTGTCAGCTCAGCCCAGTTCTTGGGTTCATAATTCATTTCACCTGATAAAATAAACATGAAGGTTAATTTTTATCACTGTGCTCAGACATATTAGAGCAACTACATTTTCTCTAGCTTGATAGGGTTTTAGAATAAATACTGACTTTTTTCCGATGATATTGTTATCTAACGCATTTTAAATGTTAAATTGACGGTTCTTTCATTTTTGTTTTTACCTTAGGTCGGAAACCTATTTTTACAATGTTTAAAAATAGAAAGAACAATGAACCATGTCGTTGAATTTTCAATTATCGAACTGGTACCTGTATGACCTTTAAATAAAATCTCTTCTTTAAAAAAACCAAGATCAAGTGCCGCGCTGATTGAATTATTTTTCTAGATTACGTCTACTTCGAGACGTCTTCGACGTCTCCCTACCAAATACGCCGTATAGAAGAATTAAACAAAACGGCGTCGGGAAACGTCGAAGCGAAGGTAATGTGTTTCTATCGACGAAGAGATTTGCCTAGCCAGCTGATCCAGCTAGCCGACAAACACCAATGTGAGTACCTATTCCTGTTTGAATATTCACTTCCCATATTTCGACGGGTTACAATAATTATTTCGTTCCTCTCTCGCTTTTCACGCATTCTAAATGAGTAGAGGGGCAAAATTCTTGATTAGACGATCGATATGCCCTGACTGTACCTGTCTTGTCACCCACCGCCTCACCACCACGTTTGTTTCGCAAAATCATGTCGCAACTGTACTTGATCAGAGCGCGTCGCTATGACAACTGCGAGATGCCCGTTCTTTAGGCCAGACTGTACTTTTATAATTACACGCAAAAAGTGGACGAGCCAAAGCATTGTGTTTTATTTCATTCGGCTCCAGTGTGCTCAATTTTACACATAAGGAATCAATTACATAATACTTCACGGTGATGATTTTGATAATTTTTCTTGATGATATTCAATCACAGGTTGCTGGAATATTCAACAGCTATTCCCTGCGAGAAATTTTTGATGTAGTGTTTTTATATAATATTTCATGACGGCGAATTCCTTTTTCTCATGTTGATATCTACGTACATTGAGAAACACTATTTAACTGAACTTACTTTACTACTTTTACCTGTTCACCTACTAATTTTCAATATATTCTTGGTGGTTGTCTGTCTTGCTGTCTTAATAATTCTGGTATTCAACATTAACCAAAAAGTACACTTTATACACCTGTTGGTTTGGGTTCGGATTGAAATATGTAAGTCGGATTTGGCTTGATGAACGTTTTCCATGCCGTATTTTTACGGTGAGGCATTCAATATATATTTTTTTTATTTACGCCAATAGTAATTCGGACGTAATAAATTGAATCAGCAAAATATTTTTAATTATACACATTTATTTTTAAAAATCTTGCAAGATTTTTCTTTGAAAATAATTGCATTTTTTCTGTCACATCTCGGGTTGAAAAATATTTGGCAACACCGCAACACGTGCTATATTTGATTTTTTCATCAATTCTCTGTTGAGGAAATCGATTTTTGAAAAAAAATAATACTTCATTTCTTTCACCTATACAACGCCAACTAGTGAAATATTTTTTTTGCAGTAAGCATCTTCTATTGAAACCACTTTTTCCTCACTAGAACAAGAATGCTGTCTCTCGACGCGCGTTTCGCTGACCATGTTAGCGTCATCAGGAGATGACTAAA